GTGTGTGTGTGTGTGTGTGTGTGTGTGTGTGTGTGTGTGTGTGTGTGTGCAGCCACCCCTCCAGGTCGTGTATGAAGGAGATCTTGGAGCAGACAGATAAAGTTTCTTACTCCAGTTTCCTCCTGAGTCTCAGTAAACATGAGAGCATCAACCAAAGCATCGGTGGGTCTAACACTCCTCCTCCTCCTCCTCTTCCTCCTGCTCTTCCTCCTCCTCCTCCTCCTCCTGCTCCTCCTCCTCCTCCTCCTCTGGTTCAGCTCTCATGTGGTGGATCTGATGGAACCGTCCTGAGGACTTCCTGTCACATGTTTCTTGTTCTGGGTTGAAAAGAGGGTAGCACCGGTTCTGATAGGACCAGAACCTTTACGGTTCTGTTTCAAAGCTCTGCTGTTGTCTGTGTGTGTTTGGTGCAGGAGCGTTACCCAGTAAGGCTGAGGTTCTGATCGACCCAGAGATGGACCAGGAGCTGGACAAACTGTAAGTTCAGACACACACACCTGCATGAAGGTGATACCTCACTGAGCTGAGTGTCCTCACAGGTCCATGACCCGGTCCAAAACCCATCTGGTCCAGGTCTACTGGTCCATGTTTCAGCAGGTTAAATGGACACATGAAGCTGGACCAACATGGTTCTTTTCTCACAAACAAATAAAAATCAGTTTTTCTCTCTCAGCTCAGTGAGATCCAACCTTTAACCCCTCACTTCTGCTCTTTGAATCAACATGTTTAATGTTTGATTTATTTATGTATTTATGACTCATGTTTAATGTTTATTCCTGTTTAATCTGTGCTGTAAACACAAACAAGTCTTTTACAGCAGATGTTGTTTTGTCTGAGGGAACAGCTGTTTCCAGGTGCTGCAGACGAGCACCTGAGCGTTGCGGCGGCGCAGCTTCAGTTTTCCTTGTAACTCTGAGTTTCTGGTGTTTTTTCTCTGACCGGGACCAGGATCGCTCAGATCTCCGTGAGTCCCAGCAGCAACAGCAGCGGCAGCGCCGTGGGGGGGCTGAAGGAGGCGCAGAGGAGGGCGTCGCCCCGCAGGAACATCCACCACCGGAGGAGGATGGAGGTGGAGAGCGACGGCTCCACCGAAGAGACCGACTCCTCTGAAAACTGACGTCTGACCTCCTCCTGAACCTACCTTTGTTTGTTTGTTTGTTTGTTTATTTATTAAAACACACAGTGTCATCTGAACCAGCTTTCTTCAGCTGCGGTCAGTCACGATCACTAACAGGAAGTTGACAGACCCTGTCAAATTAAAAGCCCTTCTAGAGCCCTCAGCAGCACTGAACACGTTGGTGAATGTTTGGATGGATCTGATTGTGACCTGTGAGTCATTCAAACCTGGAGACAAATAAATCAATAATCTGAGATTAAGGTCCATAATCTGATGTGAACAGTTTTTACCTTCAGTTTTAAAAAGGTTTGTTTTTGTTTCATGAGACGGTTGAGAAATGGACTCACCTGCTGATGGATCAATGAAAACATGACTAATAAAGATTTAAGTGAAAAAGTTTGTTGTGATGTGTGATGATGTCATCTTTTCACTTCCTGGACTTCTGTGGGTCTTCAGGGTTCTGTGAGACAAGGTCCTTGGTCTTCATGATGATGTGTGGACCTCACCTCCAGGTGTTGGTTCCATCAGAGCAGGTGTGTAACGCTGAAACCTGTTCTTATTTCCTGTGTTTGTGTGAAACTCCACAGAACGTCTGTGACTTCAGTCATAAACAGGATTTATTGACAACAACTCGTCTTCAGTTTACAGTAAATTCATGCGGCGATACAGACAGACGATCTCTACGGGACGTTTCCATGGTGACGAGTTCTGAACACAGAACCACACAGGTGGAACCAAAGAAAGAAAAGGACACTTTCCAGAGGAGCAGGTTAAAGTGGTGCACGTCCGGCTGTTGCCATGGAAACAGATACAGCTGTTTGAAATCTTTCACCCTGAGATGAATCTAAATAAACTCCAATCTTTAAAGTTAAAGCTGACTCCACCCACAACCCAAAGATGTGGGTGGAGCCCCCACATGAACCGGTGGTCCGCAGATCATCTGAATCATTAAAGATGGTTTCTAAAATTATGTTTTCTAACAACAACTAATCATAAATAAATAAACTTTATTATTTAATGAAGTTTTAACAGTTTGGGCTCAGGAGCTGCTTTAGTGATCAGCTTTAGTTTAGCTGACCCGTTTCCATGGCAACAGCCTCAGGTCACCTGGAGCTGCAGGTGAACCGGTGGACAGGACCAGCAGTTGTTTCAGGTTCTGTCGTCTTCAACAGAAAACAAACAACAGGCACTGGGTCTCAAATAAAAACAATAAATTAAATCAACCTTTTGTTGTTTCTTCACGTTTTATCTGTTCACATCAGAACAAAATGATTCAACATGTTAAAATCACGTGAAGTCATGACTCAGCATGTTAAAATCACATGAAATCATGACTCAGCATGTTAGAATCACCTGAAATCATGAGTCAGCATGTTAAAATCACCTTAAATCATGATTCAACATGTTCAAATCACCTGAAATCATGAGTCAGCATGTTGAAATCACCTGAAATCATGATTCAACATGTTAAAATCACCTGAAATCATGACTCAACATATTAAAATCATGTGAAGTCATGACTCAGCATGTTAAAAATCACATGAAATCATGACTCAGCATGTTGAAATCACCTGAAATCATGATTCAGCATGTTAAAATCACCTTAAACATGACTCAACATATTAAAATCACGTGAAGTCATGACTCAGCATGTTAAAATCACCTGAAATCATGACTCAGCATGTTAAAATCACCTGAAATCATGACTCAATATGCTGAAATTGCCTGAAATCATGACTCAGCATGTTAAAATCACCAGAAATCATGACTCAGCATGTTAAAATCACAGGAAATCATGACTCTGCATGTTAAAATCACCAGAAATCATGACTCAGCATGTTAAAATCACCTGAAGTCATGATTTGTCATGGTAACATCACTGGAAATCATGACTCAGCTTGTTAAAAATCACCTGAAATCATGACTCACCATGTTGAAATGACCTGAAATCATGACTCAGCATGTTAAAATCAGACTCAAGTTCAAACTGAAACCTGTGTCTCTGCTGTCTGTCTCCTGTTTGAGTTTACATTTTTATCCATTTTAGATTATGGAGACTTGTTATATATGAATGCCTCAGCACAATGTCTTAAAA